TTCCCCATCCCCCTGTGCCACTGTGGGGGCAGGAGGTAGAGAACTCAGGCGTGAAGTTAAGCCCAGGAAGAAAGGAGAGATAGGAGGAAGGTGTCTTAAGATTTAGTTTTTATTTCTCTTTATCCTACTCTGATTTGATTGGTAATAAATTAAATTAATTTTCCCCAAGTCGAGTGTTTTGCCCGTGACAGTAATTGCTGAGTGATCTCTCCCTGTCCTTATCTCAACCCAGGAGCCTTTCAGTATATTTTTTCTCCCCTGTCCAGCTGAGGAGGGGAGTGATAGAGCGGCTCGGTAGGCCCCTGACATCCAGTCAGGGTCAACCCACCACAGAAAAACATTTAAATATTTCAGAGCCAGATAGGTAGGTAGGTAGATAGTTATACAAGCACACGTATACTTTGCAAGAAAGAAACAAGCACAAAAAATACCATTCAGGTCTGAGAGCTATTTAACTACCTAAATGTAGATCTGCCAGTGAAAATTCATTTAAACTGAAGCCTCCTTAGTGCACTTTGTGGTTTCCAGAACACTTGACATGAAAAAATGTATTAAAAAGCCAGACCAGTAGGTGTTAATTTTGCACTTCTCAAACCAGAGATTGATTATTAGATATAGCTGGAGCCTTTATGTTGACAGTTAAATGCTGAATTCCCAGAAAAGTTGACATGTTAATACTTACATGCAAGAGGTCTCATTGCTCAAGAGTTCACTTGTTTCAGCAGTGATTTCCATTGCATATACTCAGTCTCCCGTGAACCAAACCAGAACTATCACCTGAAAATTTCAGTCTATGAAGAGCGTGAGGTAGTGACTACTACTGAACAAACCTTGTCTGTTTGTTTATAATGGGATAATCGGCAGTGCCATTTCTGTACACCGCTTAAAAAAAGAACCCGTTAATTATAAGAAGAAACACTTGCAATTGGCCCAATTTTGAGTTGTAAGAAAATTTTGCATATATGGAAGAGGACTTTTTACAGGGGCTTGTGAAGTACTGCTTCAAATTTAAAAGTATATTAAGTGATTTAATATTCTAATCCTAACTGAGGTTTTGTCTGGAAAAACTTTTTAATAGGCACAGTCATAATAGATGAGAATTGAAGTGCTTCTCTGTAATACATTTATTGGCTTTGAATGAAGCACAACTGATGGTTTGGTCACAGAAACCTGCCAGAGGGCAGCTTGCTTTAAAAGAAAAGAAACAACCGGTGACTTTTCAAGGTAACAGTGAACCTGAGGGTGCAGTTACACTTCAGCTTAAGCTGATTTAGGTGATTAGTTTTTAGCCAGCAAACTGTCCTGAACCTGCTCTCTGTAGGAGCACATAAACCCTGGCCTTGTTGCTGCGGGCTGCACTGGGAGAAGGGATGGGGTGGGACTGCAGCAGCCCCAGCTTACACCAGTTTAAGATGCCATGAAGCCTCATCCTGATGAGAACCATGCAGATTTTTTTTCTAAATCTGTGAAATTCTTCACATTAGGAATGCTCAGGGGTTTGTGTTTGTGTGTATGTTTGATTTTAATTGGCCTGTTTCACCTTTTTTTCCCCCGAGTTGCACTAGCATAAGCTTGCAGTGAGCAGCAGCTGGTTTTTATGCTGCGATCTCCAGACAGGTACATGCTAGCTTTAATATTTCACCTGGGATTAAACCACTAATACATCCATGACCGCTTTAAACCCAGGAAGAAGAAGCTGTAGCCATACCTTCTGTTAGCTTTGCAGAGCAGAGAGCTAGGCAACAGTTCTGGTGTAGTAACCAAAATTGTTTAGATGTTCCCATATAAAATTTTATTAATTTTTACCATAATGCAGCCAGATTTACAGATGTTGTCAGTATGAAAGCAAATGTGCTTGCAGTTAACAGCTGTTAAGACTAAGCTTTAGGCACATTGCTGCAAGTGAAATGGACAGCTGCATAATATTTTATCTCAATAAACTAAATCAGCCTCAAATCAACCAGAGAAAAAGTTGGTTTGGCCCAAACCAGCCCCTGTTTATCTGCAAGACACCCGGCATACCCTCACAGTGGGAGGAATTCCGATTATTCACTGGGCAAAGACAGTGTGGCTGGTCCACAAAGGAAAACCAGCTATTATGACTTAGCAGGTGCTATGTAGAGTCATTATGGCAAAACCAGGTAGTTTTTCATGAATGATCTAGGTACAGTTAATCAAAGATTATTTTTACAGCAGGGTGATCTGTGGAGAAGGCCATTAAAGCTGAAGGTGTCTGTTTCCCGTTAAAAATATCCATTTACTTTGATGGAGCAATCAAATGTTCTTCATTAAAGGTACATTGCAAATTTGTTTTTTTCCAAGTTTCCTGAAGATAGCCTTGTAGAGATTTTTATACTAACTAAAGAGTTTTATTTGGTGTCCCAGTGAACTCTCAGTTGAAGCATGAGCTAACAGCAGTGTGTAAACCAGCCCTAGCACAGTAGGTGGGATCCAGGCAGTCTCACACACACACAAAAATCAGCAACTTTATAGAGGAATTTGTTTCCAACTGTTTCACCACATTTATCATCATTTGGAAGGACTTTACCACCTGGTTCAGAAGAGATCTTGAACCCAACAGTATTAGTCTTAATGCCAGTTATTATGCTGTCTAGTAAAATGGACTGGGCACAAGGAGGAATTTGATTACTCTGTGAGCCTTTGTGATTGTGTGGTGCACCGTGTAACCACGCAGGACGAGAAACAGTAGCCGCAATGCCCTCACTTTATTAAAACATCAATTATCAAACCAGCAATGTAATTCTGAAATGAGATTATTCAGGAAATACTGATGCCTGAGAAAGGGAGAAACTTGGCCTCCAGCCTGGTTCCTGAGCTGACCCCAGGCGAGCAGGTGGCTTGTGATGGCCACACACTCCACCATATGTTATTCCTCAGTGCTGAGCATTGTATTAGCATCTGCGGTCTCTACATTCATAGATCTTTTAATTAGCCCAGTGGAAAAATGAGCAAACAGCAACAAAATCAGTAAATGAAATAATAGAAGCTTCTGTGACATATAAAGCATATAAAACCATTATATTCTAGCCTGGTATATATTCTTTTCTGATGATTGAAATATTTAGTCCAGAAAAAATCCACTCAGATAAAAGCAGCTATCTCTTCACAAAGGATAACAAGAAAAGCACCCGGAGACAGTCAAAAATAGGCTGTCTTGCAGTCTCGGTGGCTCAGTTGTTCTCTGACCTTTCCATAGACAAGCTGCAGTCCAAATCCTCCACTGACCATTAGCTGGGGAGAGGGACCTGTCTACTCTGTTGTTGTTTTCCACTTCAGCGATGCTACACTGCCTATTGAGCTTTCTCACCAGGAGAAGTTTGAAGCTCCAACCAGTACGTCCTACACTCATCAGCCTACGTACTGGTTGTCTTTCAGGTTGACAGGGAGCCCCACCTTTATTTGGGAGCATGTTTAATTCCTCCAGATCCTGATGTAACAGGTATCAATGAGATCATTCTTCCAGTATTTCTTCCAGCGTGATTTGGAAGCTGCTTGGTTGGCACTCTCACCAGGAAAAAGGCAAAAAGCTAACCTTAAGTGTGAAGAATTTACTTAGTCCGTGACTGAAATAGTGAATTCACCAAGCAAAATCATTATAAATAATTACAACTTGGCTACTGTATCATGTGAAGTGTGAGATATTGGTGTATTATTATGTTACAAAGAATTAACGAGTTTATATTTCTTATGGCGTATAAGTCTTGTTAACATTCCTTGCTTAGTAAATAAATTGTGGAAGTGTGTCATACTCTTCTAGTGTGTCATTTTCTTTTTGTAATAACAGTCAATTAAAGTGTTAGGACATTGACAATCTCTAACTGTTTTCCACTCTGCCAGTGTTAACTGCAACCGTGAAACAATAACATTCAGACCTCGAAAATTTTCTGGCTGATGTTGCATGACATGAAGTGTATGTTTTTATTTGCATGACTGCATAGGTATAATAAAGTTCCCACCTTAATGGACTTGTGCAAATACCTCTCAGAGGGTGCTAAATTACTTTTCAAATCAAGTTTTGTTCCGCACTGGAGCTGGACCTCAGAAAAGAGTATGCTTGTTGAAACTTCTTCTACCAAACCCAATTAAAGAGAAGAAGTGCTGTCTGAATCGATCGAGTGCCTTGATGACATGGTGATCAGAGGTGGTTGAATGAAACGGCTTTACTGTCTTAATCATTCTTTTTTCTTTTTTTTTTCCCCTGCCTTCCACTTAATTTTTTTCCAGGTGCGGTTAGAGTGGCCAACAGACCTCACAGTGAACCCTCTAGACAATTCACTGTATGTCCTAGACAACAACATAGTCCTGCAGATCTCCGAGAACAGGCGTGTGCGAATTATTGCAGGGCGCCCCATTCACTGCCAGGTACCAGGCATCGACCACTTCATCGTCAGCAAGGTGGCCATCCATTCAACCCTGGAGTCAGCCAGGGCAATCGCTGTGTCTCACAGCGGCATACTCTACATTGCAGAGACAGATGAAAGGAAGATCAACCGTATACAACAGGTCACAACCAACGGTGAGATCTCCATAATCGCTGGAGCCCCATCAGACTGCGACTGCAAGATTGATCCTAATTGTGACTGCTTTTCAGGTAAGGAGATGCTAGTTATTTCCTGTCTCTTATCTCTTGAGATCCCCTGGCACATCTGCAGATTAGCAAAGTGACAAGGGGAAGGAGCAATGATTCAGTTTCCTTGGAAAGCTGAAAACCTTATCATCAGCTCTTTGTGGATTTAATCCATTGGATTCAGAGATGCGAGTCTTCCAGTTGTTGGCACTGGAGGAACCTCAGGGTGGTCTTAGCTTTTCCTCTTTTGATACAGAGATTACACACCATTCAAAATTAGCTCTAAATCGGCCTATGTTAGTTACGTTTGCTCATGTTGAAGATGGTACCAGACCCAGTGCAGATTGCACCTAAATGCTACTGGATCAGGCAGCCCTTCTCACCAAGAAGAGTACCAAGGTGTTTCACATCCAGTGAAGGAACACTAGCGTATGCCTTCTCATCACTTGTGTCACGCTGCACAACCAGCAAAATGATGCAAACACATAATGTTCAGAATTTCTTCTTTGTGTGCTTTAAACTGGAACAGCCAGTGCCAGGCTCGCACTGCACCACTGGACAATCTCAGCAACACAGCTCCTCTCCCCTGCATACAACAGAACAAATTGTGACTTTTTTTTTTTTTTGTCATGAAAACATATTTCATAATGGGACAAAGGACAGCATTCCCATATACAGAGGTGTGCAGTATGTTGTCATCTTGTCATCCCTAAGAAGCACCGTATTCGGTTCCATAATGTCATCATCATTCTTAAGCTTCTCATTTATAGTAAAACTTTAATTACCAACAAGAAAACATTAAGTATGTCAAGAATGGAGAGAAAAAAATGTAAATGGTCTTCCAGAGAAGGTGAGCTGCTGACCCATTGTAATGATATTCAAAGCCTCATGCACATTGCCGAGTGCTCCCAGCTTCAGTTACGGCTATGGTAGACCAGTGCTGAAGAGCATCCAGTTCAGGGATCCTATTGAAGGAAACTACCCTCAGTGCTGAAAAATGAAAAACTGTGGCAAATCTAATGGTTGTTCCAGGTCTGGGTTGGTGAAAGGCAGGGTCAGCCTGGCAGAAAGATCAGCTAATTTGTCCATCTCCAAGGAGGCATAGGGTGTGCTCAAACTCTCCACCAAATTTCACTTCTCAGTCAGGACAAGGGGAGCAATACAAACAGTAATGTGTTTTTCTCTAAGAGTGAGGTTTAATATGCTTTCTTGCTAGTTACAGAAAATTCTGGTCATGTAAAGTCATTTTGGTATGCATATATAGCCCATGATAATGCAAATATCCTCTTCAAACCTTAAAATACACAAACCAAGTAAATTATCAAGTGATATTGGAAGGGGTGGTTTCTCAAGGCACTTTTTGGCTATTGTTCTTTTGTTTTCCTGTAGTGTTGAATCCTTAATAAGTATAAACTAGTCTTTCCTTCAGTGTCATTTTAGCTGAATTACTGGGTTTTATTTTATCTTTATTTTATTTATAACACAATTCTACTTTAACTACATGCCAACAGACAAAAAGAAGGGAATGAAACTTCAGGTGTCATGTTTTTTTCTTTCACAATTTTGCCATTAAAGGTTTTGTGAGCAGCAGGGTTTTGGCTTTAGCAAAAATGTTGTAAATTAGATAATTTATATTCTTGTTTGTCTTCATTGAGACTAATTTAGAATTGCACCAACCTTAGATAATAAGGATTTAGTTAGTTGGAAGAAGATACTGTTTTATTGACCTGTAAATGATACTGAGGAGAAGCAGCGTGTCAGGCTTAGGGAATCAGCTTAAATATGGACATTACAGATTACTAAAATTACCATTTCTGCTCCAGGTGATGGTGGATATGCCAAAGACGCAAAGCTGAAAGCACCTTCTTCTCTAGCTGTCTCTCCTGATGACACACTGTACGTAGCAGACCTTGGCAATGTTCGCATCCGTGCAGTCAGCCGAAACAAGGCTCACCTCAGTGACACGAATATGTATGAGATTGCATCGCCAGCAGACCAAGAACTATATCAGTTCACCATCAACGGCACCCACCTGCACACGCTGAACCTCATAACGAGGGACTACATTTACAATTTCACCTACAGCGGGGAAGGGGATATTGGCACCATCACCAGCAGCAGTGGGAATTCGGTTCACATCCGCAGAGACACGAGTGGGCTGCCCCTGTGGATCGTGGTGCCGGGGGGCCAGGTGTACTGGCTGACAATAAGCAGCAATGGGGTTCTGAAAAGAGTTTATGCCCAAGGCTACAACCTGGCTCTGATGACATATCCTGGAAACACGGGGCTTTTAGCAACCAAAAGCGATGAAAATGGATGGACAACTGTGTACGAGTAAGTCCGTGACATTAAATGCCTGATGTAAGAAACCCTATTTTAAATAAACATTGAAATTTTTTTAGCCAGTAATTTAAAATGCACCCTGCTACTAACACTACATGAGAAAGGACAAGTAGTGCTGCTGCACAAGCTTTTAAAATGAAACGCTACCATTTCTTAAGTGCCAAAGCCTGTCATATGTAAAAGCCCTGCACGTAGTGCCCATTAGGTGTAGCAGAAACTGCCTGAAATTGTACTTAATTTGCACTTTATTATTGTGAATCTGTTTCTCTAAATGATAATATGATTCTCAAACTTTTTGTAACTGGAGAAGTAGAGGCAAGTTGTGATATGAATCAGGAATTTGCAAAATTCCTGAGGAAGGCAAAAAGAGGAAAATTAGCATACTCATTGGAGAAGGGAGTGTTGCAAAGGAAATTGAGAATCTCAGTGGAAGGAATATTCAAAGACAGGAGTGAACTTGTCTCTATCAGCAGGGGAAGAGAGTATATAATAGCGAAAGGATATGTAATGGTGCAAGGCTATATATATATAAGGGGAGTAGGAATGACCTTGTAATCAAGACCTTCAGGAGACCTTTGGTGGGAGAGCAAGACAACAGACAGTTAAAGACACAGTCAGAACATCCCACTCTGGTCCCAGAGAGAGAACAACCCAAGAGAAAGTTCATTTTTGATTTATAAAGAGGTGTGATGTATCAGGATTTCTCATTATTTATAATTAATTGTCATAATCCCTGTTTGAGGATGTGACAAGTGATGGATGGAAATCACATGTTAATATTGCAGTACTAGTTCAGAGTTTTCAAGGAGGAGAGTAATGCCCGCTTTCTGTGAAGCATAGGAGTTCATGGTCAAAAATTAAAATGAAAAGCCATCCAGGGGAGGTACGAACAGAAAACACATTGAGGAGAATTAAGTTACTGCATAAGTCACCTGGAGAGGTAGTTGAATCACCATCATTACAGGTTTTTAGAATTAAATTTTCTTAAAATGGAGGCAGGATAAAAGCAGAGAAAACTGCTACCTAGTGCGTGGGATTTTTTATTCAATGAGGTGTTTTTCCATCCTGCCCTCTATTATCCTGCCAAAGACTAAATTGATAGGGTGGACATAAGTATAAACCATTAGAGAGGGCCATTTTTGACAATATGCGGGAAAATAAAACCATACAGAGTCTTCCTGGTTCAGTTCTCATTATCAGGCATCTATTGATACAAATTTAAATTATCTTGCAACAAGACAAAGCTCACCGTTGTCCTGGTGCTGTTTAAATGCTGATCTGAGTGTTACCTTTTATAAGCAGAACTGACTTAAAATATGTGCTTCTTTTTAATAATTTCAACACTGAGAGTGATCCCTTTAAATCCCTGCTTGAGGATGGCATCCATCCAGACCATGGACCAATGACACTTTCAAAAAGCTTTTACAGTAGCTCCAAGTCATGCCTATTACTTCTTAAAATGCTGAACACCGTGCATTATTGCAGGGCCTTGATTGTCAGAGCATGTTAGAGCAGATTATTTTTAGTCATGTGCTTCTCAATCTTGATATTCTTACTCTGCCCCACTGACATTGAGTGTAAACCATTTCACACAATTATTGCTTGTTCCTGTTGGCAAGTTGTTTGTTAAAGTATGACTCAGGCATAGTAAGATCTTCTAAAGGACTTCATCTGCTTGCAAGTGCGTTCCATTGTATGTAGTATAGATTTCTTCACAAAGAAATACCTCTGCCTTGGAAGGATTGATATTATGTATATAATTACAGAAAGAAATTTTGCTAAATTAAACAGTTTTTCATACTTTTACAGCTTTAACTGCAAGCTTGATATCACTGTCCTCACTGATGCTTTGAGTTATCCAGGCTTTGCATGACTGCGCAGTTCTGCCAGTCTAGATCAGTCAGTAGGAATTAACAGAATTACAATTGTTAGCATTACAAAAACAACAGCAAAATTAAATAGTGAAATCATGTCATTAATATTTATGTTCAGTCCAATATTTTAAGTTATCTTCATAATATATTACAAATTCTTGGGTGGCTGATAGACAGAATGTCACCCAATCTGCTGCAGTCAGAGGGGCAGTTGACTGTAATCAGTGCTGGGCTGAGTAGATGTGCTTTCATGAGATACTGCTCACCTTCTGCCATAAATAGGTCATGGGATGTGATGGTCCTTAGTTATCCTTTAATGAGACGTTATTTTTCCAGACAGGTCACATTCTGAACTGACACCCGATTTCAGTTTCAAAATTAGATTTTTCTGAAGGAGTTACTTATATGTGAATTGCTTCCAAGTCCTATATGAACATAGAGAATTATCATATGAGCAACTTTCAAATTGCTTGGAATCATCTTCTCTGTTTAAGCTAGATTTGCATTCACATCCAAAAGTTCAACCCATGACACTGTCAAGCTGAAATAGGGATGAGTTTGTTTAACAACACATATCACACATACTTGAGGATATGAGCAAAGATAATGAACTGTTCAGAACATCTACCTATATGTCAGATTCACTCACAGAGGGAAATTATTAAGAGGTAGAAAACCACCTACAAAAGTACTTGTCATCCATCTACTCTAATCTGATGTAATGGAAGTACTGAAAGAGCTCTTGCATAAAATTATAGCTAATGTACAATTTTCAGTCATCTAGAGTTTTTTAATATTGTGTCATTAAAGCTGTAAAAGAGGAGGGGGAGCACTGGGCCTCTATTAAATCAAGGACAAGAAAACACCTGCAAGAAACAACTCTCTCTGAAAAAATTAATTAGACCGCTTTCCCTTTGAAATGATATAACTCCTAACTGTGCTACACATAGAAATGCAAATGGATTGTGAAGCTATATCCCCAAGTGTGCATTTCAAATATTGGTGAGCACTTCCTCATATGAGTACTGAAATCAGTGCAATTATTTGGATGATTAAATGGTCACTGACATGATTAACAGTGGCATAACTGGGCCCCAAATTAACATTAAGAAATGTGTCATGATTCTGCCCCTATTAGTATGGGTTTGCAGGAACTGAGTCCCAGTGTGCTACTATTCATCACGTGAAAGGTGGCAGAACCTGTCCTCGGAGGGTTGAGTTTCTTGGAGCAATCTGGAGTTAAAAAAACCCTTTGGATGGTCACGCTGTGGAATCATTACTGAGATACTAATCCTTGCATGTTCTTCTTCAAGTCAGTGGGACCATCTGCATGGGTAAGAGTCCATTCGCATGTGCTCTAGTCTTATTATAATTCAGTACCGTATCTGGCCAGCCATCCAGTAACAGTTTGTCCCGTTTTCAGCTACACAGGGAGTTTTGTATCTCATCATCGGCACTATCAGCAGCAAAACTGGATCCTCAGGAAAGATGGATCCCGAGTCTTGCGCACAAGTACATTTCAATAAACTGGCGGCATTTACGCCATAAGAATGCATGATTTGGGGATTTTTCTATGGTGTGGTAGCAAATCCAAATAACCTAGCAAGCTGTCATACCTGTTTGATCAAGCAGTAAATGAAATATAGCTGCCCAATGTTCATGGAGTTTTTTAATGATGAAAAGTAGTGACCTGAGTCGATTTTAATCGCTGGGTGTGGCACCCAGTCAATTTGCACAGAAGCGGCATACGGTTAGAATGTAAGTAAGTCATGTGATGTATATGAGGGCAGTAGGAGGTGAAAGAGAGATTATATTGTATTTAACATGTGATTAATTTATTTGTCAAAAAAGCACAAGATGGTCACTAGTGCATTCTCCAGTGTTTCGTTTGAAAAGAACAACTGCTCAATTTTTCTTTTTCATATTGGGGGGAAGAGAAAAAAAATCCTGATTTTTTTTTTCACCAATACTGTTGTGACATAGATGTTTTGTCTGACTAATTAGGGGGAAATAAAGATCCTAAGGAAATTATGCCAACACATTAAAGTGAAGGACATAGCCAGATCATCTGCTGATGTGAACTGGAAGAGCTCCATTGGAGGCAGCGGAGCTTTGCCGGTTGATGCACCAGCTGAGGATATGTTTTGTCAATGAGAGGAGACAGTTAATAAAACATGAAAACTCAATTATGCTTTCCTACCTGCACAAATAGGTTTCTATTTTATGAACATGAGTTGGTTTTACTCATGCAAATACATCTGTAGTATCAGTCAGATGTCTTAGATGAATAAAAATGTGTTAGCATCAATAAGGTTTTTAAGATGGGAGGCATTAATATGAAACAATATCAAGCACCAAGCAGTGTTCTGCATTGTTTTCCCTGTGAGCCATCAGAAAGAACAAATATATCTGTAGAAATGAAAAGACCTGTTAGAAACACTGCTACAGAGATTTTGAATTAATTACTGATTTTTTTGTAATCTGGCCCAATTCACATAAAGTACCTTAAACTAAAATAATTTCTTTAGCGCTGATGAAATTTAGGTGAACTAAAATGTGATTCTCTAGATTCTGGTGCTGTTACTTGTGATGAGAAGTTCCAAAATTTGAGTAGGCCTGTGGGAAATGTAACACAAGAGTAAAAACCATGTAGGCAACTTAATCGCTGCAGATTTCAATCTAATTTTATTGCTATTGTTACACTTTAGGTCCCCTTTTTAAATTCACCATTCATATTATGTACTTCACATATCAGCAACAAAAGGCAGCTTTTGAGTCTTAGGGAATCTAAGAATTGATTTTATTTAAACTTACGGGTAAGAAAAACGCCTTTTTGGGGGTGAGTTGGTTGCCTGAATGCCGACTGACCTCCAGCGGCCATCCTCCTCTGTCACATCCCAGCAGGTTAAACCCCAGCTGTCTGTGCCCAGCACTGAAACCTCTGGCAGAAGCTGAACGATGTAGGTAGCATCTCATCCTATTCCCAGTTGTATTTTATCCAGCACCACTGAAAAAGAGTCTAGACAGCAATTCAGATTAGGGAATGAATGCATTTTGAGTGAATAAATGGACCAATACTTACCTTTTTACTTACTGCACGATGTTGACAATGCTTCTCACTTTTTTCCCTTTTTTTTCTTTTAGGATTATCTACAAGACAATAGTGATGTATTTTCTTGGCTCTTTAACATCATGTCTTGCAGGTATGACTCCGATGGCCATCTAACCAACGCAACCTTCCCGACTGGGGAAGTCAGCAGTTTCCACAGCGATATTGAAAAACTGACACGAGTGGAACTTGATACTTCAAACAGAGAGAATGTGATCACAGCCACAAACTTCTCAGCTACCTCTACAATATATACTTTAAAACAAGGTAATTAAAGCATTTCTGTTATTTCTTCCATAATCATTATGTTTCAAACCCTAGACATTATTGCATTCTTAACTGTTTGCCAAAAAAAAACCATTAGAATTAGTTCATTTATTTCTTCCTTACTTCAGTACAAATAGCTGGATACTACTTATAATTCTCCTGGGGTACCAATTAGAAACAAACCACAAGTGAATTATTTTTCTCCTAGAAGAGTCCCATGGATAGATTCTAGTTATTGAAATCTCCAATGCCTCCAGGCTTTGCGTGCTAGTTTCTGCTTCAGTATCTGGAAGACTTAGACTGACCCATAATACACTGAGCATTTTTGTTCTGAGCAATACTCCCCAGAAGAATGACATGCCTCGCTGACCTTTTAGCACTGAAATGCCTTGTCTATGCTATGAATTCTTTCTGGTCATGCTGTGTCCTGGTGATGGCGCTTGTAGGAAAGAGGAAAGAGGAAAGCATGACCAACCTCTGCTGGTGACTGCCTTGGGGATGAGATTTTGACTCAAGCCCTGTGGACACCACAGTATTTCCCTGGCAATATCATATCTCTCTCGAGAATTTACTCTCTGACTAATGGAAGTGCCCCAGTGTCTTCCTCCAGATTTTGCAGATTCATCACTGAAGTTCTGGTTTATAAAAGTTTAATCGATCTGAGGGTTTTTTTCTCCTTGATTTTTTTGTTGTCAGTGGATTGTTCAGGCTTTGAGAGAGCAGGTGCTGGGAAATAGCTGTCTAATTTCCTTCCAGGTCTGCTGTAGAAAAACTTTGTAACTGAGCAAATCACAGAACTTTTCCCTGTCAGCTTTTGATCTATAGGAAAAAAGTAGGAAGAACTCGCCTCACAAGATACTCACTCATTCCTCTTCACTATGACGTTGCAGAGACAGCACTGAATAAGTGGAAATAATTTTATTATATTGTTGTATCACCTGTTAGGCTTTGTCCAAGTGAACCCATCTGCTCTCTGCATCATCTACTGACTGCCTGGTTGTATGTCTGTCCTTAAATCTGAAACTCTTCAAAGCTGGTATGTTACCAAATTGTTTCTCAAGGAAGTGCTAGCACACTATGGGCAGTGCCAGAAATGAAGCTGTAGTTATTATTATACCTACCATATTTATGAAATCATATAATTTGCATATTTCCATATCTCTGTGAAACTATCATGAAGGACCATGTGAACAACCAGTCGGACATGGTATCCTTACACCTGAGTCACAAAGTCTTTTTTAATGTAACACCTATTATCTTCACTTTCTGACATACCCAACTATTTTGCACATATTTGTGTCTCAAGAGATGGACCAGTTACTTCTGTGTGGACCAGCTAGCTGGTATGAATTCAATTGCATTTTAAGGGTGAAATTTTTGCTTTGTCTCTTAGCACTAAACATTCAGGCTCATGATTGAGTCCCCCTGGCAGCTGAGCCACCATAACCTCCTGCGTGCATATCCCTAACCTGACCAAACACAAGGCGATGTGGCACAGCTCTGCCTGCGGTGCGGGAATTACAGTGCCTAGGCAGGAGGAAGGCTGTATGCCTTGGCATCCTTTCCACGGAGACCTGCTCTGGACCCTCTGTGTCCTTCTGGCAGTTTTGGGGAGGGGGAGGAGGCTACACTAGGTCATCCCAGCTGCCCCCAACAGCCCCCTGCAGCACAGTCCTGAGCCTCTGGAGCTGCTCGCTGTGTCACCGTTACTGATCCATTCATTTTTCTGCCAATACTCTCTTCCCAGTGGGTCTCTTGCACCAGGCTTCGGGTTCGTGGCTGACCGTCACTGTGCCTCTACCCCAGGGTCCTGCTGCTAGTGGAGAAGAGAAGGAGGTTTTAGTATCGTGATACAGGGAGAAGGGACAGAATGGGAGACTGGCCATCATCCTAGACATTTTGAAAACAGCTTTCATGCTTAACCTCAGATACTCATTGCAGTCATTCAAGCAGTACACTATCCTCTTAACAGACCCCAACATGGTAAAATCATCAGAATATCGGTGGTCAAACCCAGCCTGTGGGTTTACATACTTTAAGCTGAAAGCAAGAACTCTTTATTCCTGAAAAAAAACTTCACAATGGGAAGCATCAGGCCAAATATAATAAAAAGCTCTGTAAACATGGGAAGGACTGGAGGTTACAGGTTGCAAAAAATCACACTGCAGTTGGTATATGTTCAGCTGTCTGTAACCTAGGGACGAACAAAGCTCTATTGCACCTAACATTTGCTTTGTAAAACTCATGATCTGAACTTTTCTCTCTTCCCTGTTTTTTGACAGATAACACACAGAATATCTACCGAGTCAGCCCAGATGGGTCTCTGAGAGTCACCTTTGCTAGTGGAATGGAAATCACGCTTAACACGGAGCCTCATATTCTAGCGGGGGTTGTCAGTCCCACTTTAGGGAAGTGCAATATCTCCCTTCCTGGAGAACATAACTCAAATCTCATTGAATGGAGGCAAAGGAGGGAGCAGACCAAAGGCAATATCTCCACGTTTGAGAGAAGGCTAAGGGTAAGGCTTCCTCTTGTGTAAAGTGCAGTGTTCCCTTTGAAAGCCATTGAACTAAAATCATGTTGAAATGTTCTACTTTGTAAGAAGAGCAATGGAAAGTTTGTATCAATGGTGGGCCCCAGCCATGAATTTCAAAACCAAACTCCTTTGACAGTCTCAGGGATGTTTGATCTCTGTTTGATTTTTGTAGTGAGACTTGACCTCAAGACATAATTACTTTTTTTCTTCCTCTTCTTTTTAAACTAAGAACTTAATTATGACTTTGGAAGAAGCTGTGAGCAAAGAATGATGTGTAGTTACTCTGGCACAGCAGCAGAGTTGTAGCCACATTCTACCTCTCTCAGATCTATCAACCCTCTTTCTTCTGGGTACCAGCCAGAAGAAAAGGTGCCAGGCTATGCCTGGGGCAGAGGGTCTCGCAGGGCACACCTTGGGTGTCCTGGCCAGTGCTGCAAGCTGGAGTGATGTAGGGCCTCCCTGCGCATCCAGACAGGCCGTGTCTTCTGTCCTCTACCACATGCTCTCAAACACCCTCGCTCCCTCTGGCTGGGTTACACTATGCCTCTAATAAAGAATTACTTTATCATTGCATCCACAGCTTATTTTTATCTGTGAGGAGAACTCACAGATTACAATGACAGATGGTCAACATTCAGTATTTAATTAGGTAACACTAAGGCTCAAAGAGATTGCTACCGTGCAGAACAGGTTTTTTACAAAATCAGTTCTGTTTTTCACATGAATACCCCTTAAAATGCCTGTACCAGTAGTATGACTGGGAATTTTGGCCTTAAAAATACTGCATTATTAACTACAACCTTTCTGGATAGGTATTGTCTCTGAAGGTACATCTGTTAGCTCTGAAAATATAGAGATGGTTATTCAAATCTCTGGATTGTCTTTTGGCTATGAGACACTTTATATTTTTTAAAAATGTATCATCTGTTTGGTTTTCAACTGCTCTGATCAATCAGAAACACAAGACTGGCATGATCTGGCCAGGCTGGCCACTGTATGTGAAACACCTGTTTGAAAGGACATCTTTCAGATTTGACAGTCACAGTTACTTTATTAGGACCTTGCAAGTGGGGAAAAGCTTCATTTAGCTTTTCTTGTCCACCTTCTGCCTGCCTCCTCTCTAGCGTAGTGTGAGTCACATAGCCCTGTCTAGAGAGGCAGCTGAACTTACTACAGTGGCAAATTTGTTAAGATGGCAGGATCCAAACTATGGCCTCCATGGCTCACGTTACCTAATCAATTGATTCTTGTGTCATTTTGTGCTTAAATAACTGTATGGCACGTTTTTCTGTAAGGACCTTATGTAATAAAATCTTAAACTGAAAGGAAGTAGCCAGTCATCTATTCTGCTTACGTTGCCAGGGCCAAGTTGTTCATGGCAGTTATATTTGATATACGTATTTCATCCTGCACAGTTTTCCTATTATGCAGTTTATATTTTCTATTGTTGAAATTGATTGCAGGTTCTTTTAACTCGTTTTCACTTCCTTCTGCATGATCCTTAATATTGCCTGCCAAAAAAGGAAGGAAATTCACAAATTGGTCAGGATTAAATGGATTCTGGCTGGAGGCATAAAATGTTCATTGAAATACTGCAACACTGAAGCTATCCAGAGCTCAACTGATTGACCTGCCTCTGGATCAGTCTGTTGGTGCATAGAACCACTCGTGTACTCCTCCTTCTCCTCCTTCACCTTCACCCAGTGAGAGGATGGAAGGTGAAGTGTAAGAACGATTTTGATGTGCTGCTGTCTGATATTCTCTGTCCTTCCAAAAGTATCCACTAGCATCACAGCGTTTGACCATTATGTTGTTATTTCTGTAAATTGTGTCTTTTTATAGCTACCCAAGATCAAGGGGTCTTATGGATTGTCCCTGCCTACTCAGAAGGACAAGTTGGCTTCCCGTATTACAATGTTTCCCCCTCACTTGGCTGTCTTGAGCTCTGGGACTATCTGTCTGAGAGCTGTCAGGGCAAGGCTGGAGGGAACCTGGTGGGATAGCACATTAAATGAGGATTTGGTAGTGGAAAGGAGGAGAAATATTCTGTGCGTAGGATACACCATGTAGATAGACACAAGAGAAAGGGACAAATGGACTATCGAGGCTGTGACTGCCAATAAGAAGGACTTTGGAGGATAGGTGAAATATATGGGTCCTGGAGTTAAGCTTTAGCCCTGAGAAGTTTGCATGGGATGTTGATGGAGTGGGGAGTCAGTGGAGGTGGAAGGAGCTGGAACATTGCAGCTGGCGAGGAAGGCAAAGGAGCAGCAGAATTGACGTGGAGACAGTGATCTTTCCTTGATGATTAAAAGAAATATGCAAGAGAGCAGGACCAAAAATGCCATCATATAGTATGTTTGAAGCGGTATGCCAAATAATGAAAGGGATTTAGGACTTAATGTTGACAGATCCTCGAGTACTGCTGGGAAAAAAAAAACGTAGCATCATTAGAAGCCCTTATGCTGGATGAGGTTCTGGTGAGACCTTCTGAAAACTTCTAGTGAGTTCCATTTTAAAAAGAAAGTTTTTAAACACTTAATATGCCAGGACTGGCATAATAGGAAGTGTGTTAGAAAGCTTGCAATGTAGGGCAGAAAGAACTATGCTGAACTTTGAAAATACATGTAAAGAAAAGCTCTGGGGATTGGACCAATTCTCAATGGAAATGAACAGACTTGCAGGAACTCTCAGTTAAAGAAAAAAAACAGCACAATGGAAGAGTTTTCTGAGAAAAATAAAGCATAGAAATGAGGTTTAAAGATGTTACTTAGAGATCAGCCCTGATACTGTCATTGAAACAAACGGCTTTGAGTGCTAAGAGGTATAAATTAGAAGGCAGGTAACTGGGGACGAGGTAAAGGATGACCTAGTTGAGAAGAAGAAAGCTTTTCCTTTTCTGCCTGGTCCTAACATTTTTAATTCCTAATCGCAATTAGCAGCCATCTTGAAAGCATGTCACTATTCGTGTTATTTCCAGTTTTGGAAAGAGGCACTGTTAGCGCGTTCTGAATAATGCTGTAAACGTTGTGTTGTAAAAAGTGGGATTTTTGCATGGTGCACATTCCCTGCTCTAGAAATAGAGCAGAACTGAGTAAGTTAACTGAAATGCTAAAGCAGGCATCTAACTTTATCTCAGCATCTAAATCAATGTGGGAAACAGGAATTAATCACAGGTTTCCTTTAAGTGCAGAACTGCCTGCCCTGATGCTTCCTGAAAGTATATAAAACAGTCTGTAGGCATGTATGCATTTTATATTAATAATAAATCTATGTACAATCAGGCATTTTAACATCAATCTTAATCTAGCAAGACTTCTTTTTTATCAATTGAACTGCTATTTTAATTGACTTCTAAAAATGAAGCAAAGGCTGTTGTTAAAACCGATGAGCATGATGCACAGTAATAGACTGATTAGAATGCAGCTCTGTTCCCTCCTGTCTTTTGCATAACTTAGAGGAACGTGGCATTGGATGCACTCCAGGTTTTATAACTGAATATCTACAAAATTGAAAATTGAATGCTTGGCCAGTCTTACTTCTTTTTGCTCTTTTTCTTTTTTTTTTAATAACGAAAAAGGAAGTAACTCACTGGCTTCAATTCAAAAGTCCTGCAGATACAGGCTTTGACAGCTATGTTTATTATTGCATTTAGCAAATGATTTCCCTTTATTTACCAGTGTTACAGTGAATTCTAATGATAGGACCAAATCCTCTGCCAGGGTGGATCAGTTTAAGTTGACTCAAATCAAAACACAGACAAGGAAATACTACAATCATCTAATCTCATTTACACATTGTAGACAGTTTAGGTTTGAGAATGAAAGGCAAAAGAAGGGCACATTTATGTGATTATTTACACTGCAAAATTTCTAGCTATAAAACTGGTGGAAGTAGAGTCAATGAATATTTAAAAATATATAATAAATATATCTTTGTACGCACTACTAATCTTATTATTGAAGTCAGCTGAATTTTCTCCCTGTTTTCATCAGCCGTAATTCTGACCTGACATTGCATCAGCAACCAGTTTTCCCTGGCTGGTAGCAGAACACATGAGCTCCAGCCTCTCACAGGGACTCCTTACCACTTTGTATGTACATTGGAGGAGTCATCTTCAAGAAGCCAATGGGACTTGAAATCAGCTTTTCAGTGACAACGTTGAAATGAGGCCCGCTACCCATGTATCATCCTGTCTTGCCTTGAGAAGGGTGTTAAATTTAACTTAAATCTAATATAAGAAAGTAAACAAATGAGACATAAAATGTGGAATAGAAGGGAAGTAATGACATCCACCCAAACCTTATTTTAACTCTGTGAGCTTTCAAATATTGCTGCTATCCACTTCACTGCTAATTCTGCCTCTGTTTGGTTTTCATTCTTATTTGTTGTATCGTCCCTGAAATTTAGATTGCAGGCAATTTCTATTCAAGACTTTCCTTTCTCCTAACTGCATTCTACGATAATAATAATAATAGCAATAAGAACATTAAATATATACATAGACAGTAAATGAATGTGAGCCAGGGTATATCCCCTGCTTGCTTTTCAGTTATTTTACCACCAAGAGGGTCTGTTTTCAGAAATTGCAAGAAATTTTCAAAGAAATATATTAGAATGAACTTCATCCATCAGACTGTATACAAGCAAATATAGTTGAACTGAGCATCACATTTTACTTGGGCTCCTTAACTATCATTAGAGCATAAATTGTAATAGTTACAGCGGTCTACAGGGGTATATAGGTATTTTACAGCTATTGTAAATGAACGCTATTAAAGTTAGACATGTGTATATATAAAACCCCAGGAATGGTAGTTGAAGAAAGAACACCTGCTTCTTCTAGATTTTCAAATTATTTTGTACCTAAAAACAGAAAGGGGAAAGAAAAAAAATGTTCTTTCTAATCACTACCACCATATGATCCCAGCTTGAATTATTAAACAGATATTCTTAACCATTTACTTTAGGGCTATGCCTCCAGGTCTCAGTGAGGAGCAAGCACTGTGCTGTGCACTGTGCTAACACCTGCACTGACATCGTCTCTGCTGTAAGGAATTTATTAATTGGAATAGATTAATACAAGCGATTAGATAAAATGCAGTAGATTAATATGAGCGCGTTGAGCATTGATCTGAAAAAGACAAGTCAATGAACAATGTCTTATGGTTCCCTAAATTATAGCTCTGATTTAAATGGAGTTTAATAGTGATTGCCCAGTGACTGGATGATGTGAGGAGGTAGATGATGAAAGCACTGGATAAATACATTTAGTCTTCATGAATCTGGCTCAGCTTTGAACTTGAGTTCAAATTGAGAATTGGACTGCCCCTCTGCATTTCCCTGTTGGACGATAAATGTTAACAAGATCGTAGCACGGTCATTCTGTCAGTCTGTTGGACACAGTGAGTTCAACCAATGTTGCAGGTCCCAGATGTGGTGAGAGAGCTGCAACAAGGAATATGGCTGGCACCAGGCACCGCTGCCACTGGCTTTCACGAGCTCTGGGAGCGGGGTGGTTTTGTGAAAAAGTATGAGGACGCTGGTGAGCAGAGGGTTCGGGAGCTGCAAGCACAGCTCTTCCTTTTCAGCATCGGTATGCAACCCCATATGGGCTATCCCAGAGCAGTAGCTCATCTGTTGACATTAATGGAGCTTAAGAGAGAGAATGTGAGATAGGATATCTTTGTTAATTTGTGGGCTTAACTACACGTCTTTGGCTGGAATCAAAAAGTCCATCCACAGAGAGATGAAGGTTGAAAGAAGAAAAACTTAGGAAAAGGTGAGAGCAGAGGTGAGGGTTTAGCACATGGAAATAGGAAGCATCCTGTAATGCAAAGTATGATAACACTGAATGCAAGCAGCATTTTGTTTCTTGGCCCTCCTGTTTCTCATCTGAATATTTCTCTATTTTTTTTGTCTTTAATAAGACCTAAATTTTCCATCATAGTGTTAAACCATTGCACATTTTGAATAGAGCTGACACAGAAATGTTTGTGTTGTGTGTAATTAAGATGCATTGTTTCCTGACCTTACTGTATCTTTGTGTTTAGGCCCACAACAGAAATCTGCTCTCCATTGATTTTGATCATGTAACCAGAACAGGAAAGATTTACGATGATCATCGAAAATTCACGCTTCGGATTATGTATGACCAGACAGGACGCCCAATTTTATGGTCACCCATCAGCAAGTACAATGAGGTCAATATCACTTACTCACATTCTGGATTAGTCACCTATATCCAAAGAGGAACCTGGACTGAGAAAATGGAGTATGATCCAAGTGGGAACATAATTTCCAGAACATGGGCAGATGGTAAAATATGGAGTTACACATATTTAGAAAAGGTAAATCATTTAAAAAGTGGAGTGTTGTACCAAGGCAAAAATACTTGGGTTTATATAGATATTATATTGTGAACTATGTTATAATGCTACCTCTTGCAAGAGTATTTAAGACTTTTTAGAGAGAAAATGCATACAATTTCATAACTAGATAAAAGTGTCTCTGGACATGCTTAGACCTACATGTCACCCATTCAGACCTGCCATAGTTTACTTCTGGAGAAAGTTATCGGCACCTCGGATTTGTTTAATTGGTAGGTAAAAATTACTTCTTGGTCTCAGCCCAAGTTCAAGTGAACAAAGGACACTCTCACTGCTGAAAAACATGTTGGTACTCTGTATAACATAGGCAAAAATATAACAGTCACTAAAAGGGAACTTTTTTGCTCCCCACAAACACCATTCTTTTAAGCCAAAAGTATGAGCCAGTGAGTACAGTCTTGCACCTATTCAGTGCTGCGCTCTAAAAAAGGGATTGATCCCGTGAGAAGAAATTTGGTATTTATGAGGGCCATTTCAGGGGGGAAACACTAATATGAAATGAGTTATTGCTCTGCTTTTATAGTGACTTCGTGTCTAAATTGCCAAAGTATTGTCATTTTCATTTATGTCTATAGGTAACGGTCACAAAATGGGGGAATAAGTGTTGTACAGACTAAGGAAGAACAGCATCTCCTTCATCTGTAGAAGCGTCTCATTTGGTCTTGTCTCTCAAAACCAAAAAGCCAATCTGTATTTTTAAGGCTTTCAGAACTTAGTGTGAAATTGTATTCAGACAGCATCCTTTTAACCTTTTTTTTTTTGAATAGCAACATCTTGGACTATCCAATATACCCTGAGTTTTCTTTGAAGCTGTTAACCACAGGGAAAGGCTAGGAGGGGGCAGGTGAGGTAAAACTGATAGGTGGTATTACACGCCGGAAATCCAATGACTTTGAAGTTATTTATATATTAAAAAGTTCCAAATGTGTACTTTTAAGATAAACTTTGCTGTGTTTATTTTGAATGTATTTAAGCTTGATCCTCAAAAAACTTAAACCTAACTGAGAAAAAAAACACGAATCAGACTGGAGGATGCATAAAAAAGCGATTCCTTCCTAGTCTCCATGGAGTATGGTTCTTGCACATGTTAACAAGATTGGCAAACCCTAGAAGCTTCAGAAGTTTGGTTCAGATAAATTTGTCAGGGCTTCTTTTGTCTGTGTGCTCTTCTGCAAATTGCAAGTAAACGGGCATTTAGTACAGCTTTCAAATATCTGGGCAATGTGCCTTTTGGAGGAAACTTTTATTTTTTCTTTGGGCCTGATGGACTGTAATTTTGGAAAGATGTAATCTTCTTATCTTTCCAAACCACTTTGTCTGTTCTTAGTTATGATGAGCTTATAAATAAAGTCATATAACTTAAAACTGTTATTCTGGAATTGTACACAAGTGGCCAAATCCCGATCTTGTAGAAGCAAATGGCAAACGCTTCCTGGTTCAGGTAGCAGCAGGCTTGGGTTATGCTGTAACTTGCCATTAAAATTATTGAAAGTCATATACACCGTGGACACAATCTCCCAGCTATTTAATGTACTTTCATCACTGTTTGTTCCTTGTGCCAAAGAAAGATTAATTCACTGTCAAAATTAGACATTGAAATATCATTTTGTGGCTCCATTAAAGTCAATAACTCATTGTGTTAATCATGTAATGATTGCTAACGGTTGTCTGAAACCTCATAAGACCCAATCATTCCTTTTATCAAAAAATCAATTATATAGTTTGCTTCCAATTCATAGTTATTTAATTCTTCATTTTTTAGCACTTGATGAGTTAATTGTACATCATCAAAAATCTCTAGCCCTTCCAAAATTAGCTCCAATAATTTAGATGTTAAAAAGCATTATGATAGTAGCGCTGTAAAGAATTTTTACTGATGAGATTCAGTTCCTCTTGTTTTGGTGACTTTCCTCAATTAGTTAATGGTGTTATAAAATCTCCGGAATACTCCAAGCTTGCTTCCAAAATCTTGCCGTTTACCACCAGACAAAATAGATGAGCGGCTGCGTGTGTCTGTTGGGCAAAAATGACATCTAGTGGTGATGCTCAGCATTTCTGTGTATTCCCTGTAGAGCCCCAAGTAATTGCCACTGACTGTTTGTCTTCATATACCATGCGGCATCAAACATTACGTGGTTGGCCAGGCTCTGGTTGCTTTTATAAAATGACAGCTTTTTGGATGTTTTATGAGCTACCCTCTGAAATCCTTTAAAACAATTAGAACCTAATTTGTGCAAAGAGTTGAAAAATCTATTGTAATATCATTAAGATGAACTGGGAATTAATTTTTTTTTTCCTCTTTATGGTATCTTCTAATAGGCTAGAGAGGATACTAAGTCTCCAATTCTTGTACTGTCTATCCTCTTACTATCCTGGACGAAAGTGGAGGAACCACAAAGAGCTTTAAGAATGGCACACAGGGGCACTAAAGTTACGTTAGAGATGTTTCTGATCTTGTTATTCCTACTCTGTCAATAACGGACAGCTTAAAAACAGGCCCGGGAGCAGTATATAGAGAGAGGCGTCACATCAGTGCTAGGAGAGAGTTCAGCCAGTGGTTTACTGCAGACTGGGGACTCTCGACTGAAGGTGAAAACGAAATAAACACTGTGCATGTTAGAAATGCTTGGCAGACCAGCAATAAAGTGATCAGAAAAAGCTCCATGTAAAGGTCTGTCATCACCAGCTAGCAGAGGGTAACTTGCGACTGGCATATGCTGGGGCTCTCTGGCTCGTGTACAGGTGCCAGATGTCTTTCACCAAGGGCAGAAAGAAATAGATCTTGGGAGGGCGAGGGGCCAGGGGTGCAGAGAGGATGGCCAAGGCTTGGCCTATCTTTGGTCCTTTGAATAAGCAGTTGGGTTATTTGTCAGAGCAAAGTGGCTCAGGGCCAGTGTTACTTAACACATTGCAGGGCTGAGCTCTCGGTGTTTTCTTCCCAGAAAAAAATTTTGAGCTTAGAGGAAAAAAAGAAGACTTTTTTTTCTGATCTCTTTCCC